TAAGCTTTTTCTCGAGTACAAGGGTGAGTATGATCATTCACGTATGCATACAAAAGGCATCATAAGCTATGTATGGCAGAAGCGAGATTTTAGGCTCCTTAAGTGGCGAGTCGGTAGTTAATCGTTCAACCAGTTATTTACGATTACAGATGTATGTCTATGAGATATATATGTACTATTCAATAATTTTTTTTATTTTCTAGAGATATTGTAATCGCTTTAGTGAACATGACAATCGCAACGCAATACAAATGTATGGAGAATACTTTGGCCGGGTAATCAGACATTCTAATGGATCAGAGCCTTATACATTTTATCTCTTAGCATTGAGTTCTATAAAAATATTATACAATGATTAACGCTGATATTCTAACGATTGAACTCATAACATGATCTAAATATTGATGTTTTCTAGGGGTATGGTAAACGTTTAATGCCAAATAATGTGTTTCGTACCCGACAAAGTTTTCTTGAACATGATCCTGAATATGTTCATACAAATGAAAGTGTTTCGCATCACGATTTTCGTGGATTACAATTACCTGATTATCTGATTTATTGTACAAATAAAAATAAAACGAGTAAAAATAAATCAAATAAAATTTTAAAAGAATTCTATGACAATGATAATGAATCAACACCAATTGAATTACTCTATAGAAATGATTATCGAAAATTGCCAGCTTATCCATGGAAATATCACTATCGGACTCGTACTTATCCATTATTTCCGAGCTTGAAAAAAATGAATGAAACGTGATAAATTGATCCTTTTTTTATATGTGATAGAATTTGAATGCCGTCCATAACCTTTTATTATTTTATTTCTAAGTGCTATTTTTTTCAGATTAATCAGAATCTCACATTCTATTGTATGATTACACTTATCGAATATCTATTTTTTTAAATAAAATATTTGCTGAATTTAGTTGAGATTGTATGCACACTCTCTATCATCGAAAAATCCAATTTCTTTACAACAGAAAGATGCAATTGAGATTTTAATTTAAAATATTTCTTTGCATTAGAGAACGTGCCTTTCAAAGATTGTGTACATTAATATGTTTATCTTTGACTGTGAATTGAAAATTTCAAGTCGCTTATAAAATTCTAAATTGAAGAATTTTTTCTTATAAGAAATGTGCTAAAAATAGAAACAATTATTTAAAGTTTAGAGGTCATTTGATGAAATTGTTTCTATCGGATGAATTGTATCTGATGAATTGTTGTTTTTATCGTCTGGTAAATCGATGGCCCTTTTTGGACCAACGAACCAATGTCTCGCTGATACTAGCCAATATACAGTAGCAATAACTGCTACGCCAGCTACTACAATTATGGCCCAATTCATATTATCTTTCTTTACCGGATAATTTGTTGGAAAAAACATAAAAACTGATGTAACGAATAACCATATTGAACTTACCGTACCTATAAGCACACCAAATTTTCCTAAATTAAATTCGCCCAAATTTGGATTATCAGAATTGTTTACGAAATCATCGACATTTGGTATAGCAAATAGCAACCCTAGTAGATAAGCGAAGCCAATGCAAGCACTAATAACACATGTGCCAACAATCCCTTTAGGCGCCGCTTTACCCGCTCCTCGCGTCTCTTCTGCTAAATGGGCACCTAAAATATATAAAAAACTATTGTAGATTACTTATGAGACTAGTGTAAAGAAAAAATGAAAACTATTGGTAGTAGCATAGCATTGGAATTAGATTATACGAAGTATGACAAAAAATTAATCATACAATACCGGCCTCATATCCAGAGAAGCTAAACAATGTTGATAATATTCCAATGATGCAAACATAACCAAATGTAAATCCTGTTGTATTATAAGTTGTTAGAAAAACAGTACGTGCCGATGCTCGATATTTTGTCATTATGAGAATTACAGCAACGATCGTAATCGTGCTTCCAACTTGAACAAATGCAGCCAAATTATTCAACCATCCTTGTTTGTCAATTCGAAGAGCGTTTTGTATGGACCACAATGCTGTAACTCCAATTGATACACCAACTTGTGTATTGATATTCAGTGGTGCTTGATTAATGCTAGGTAATGTGACATTTATCACATCTGTCACATTTGCCACATTTGCTACATTTTGTGCACTATTCAGTACGACAGCAGCATTAATAAGCGACGCAAAACCAGAACTGAATGCTGCATCACCTGCAAAAAAAATGAATTAAGAGACTTAGAAATTATATAAGTTAAATTTTATAAATAATACTTAAATTGGTTGTTATCAATCGTCTGTATGGTATTACGCAGTTTTAGAGAACTTACCGGCAACATTTCCAAGAAAATTGAACCATCCACAGATAAAGGATGCTATTGGTGAATATTTTATTGGTACGAGCTGTCCTGCCCTAAAGCAAAAGGTCCAGAAAACTTTTGTGATACTTTTAATTCCATTTATTAACTTACCAATGATAAACAGATCCAGCACTAGGATACGTGGAACAAATTTCTGCTAATGATAATCCAATTATAATAGTAAAAAATGAGCCAATTATCCATCCCCAAATAATGACTCCCGGTCCTCCCGTATTCACACCATAATTAAATCCAATTGATATTGAACATAAAACATTAACTGCAGTAAAGCAGAAGGTAAGTGACATTAAACCCGAAAATCCTCGAAATAATTCTTGTTCATAGCCCATGTCACGCATTAGTACAACATCTGTATCTTCTTCAATTTTTTCTTCCATTTTTTCTTCCATTACTTTTGATTTTGACAATGAAACCATCTTAGATTTATTCGGTCAATAATTCCTAATTAGGCACGTTATTAATCACTTAATTCATCGAGGTGTTCACTTTAGTTGGGAATATTGTTTAAAAATGAGAAGAAGTCAAATGAATCGATAAGTATATGTAAAAGTTCTTTGTAAACCGTAAGTATAAGGACTGTTCGATAACTTTTCCTTGTCAATGATTCTTTTACTCGTGGGCACGAGAGACACAAAATACTTCCTTTTCTTCGACACAAATAAGCTGACTCTTCTTTTATCAAGGCGTACGTATCAAAAATAAGGTACTGTGCACTGTAAGTATATGAGACGATAGACTTATGTCTTCGGTACGATAGGAAAAATGGCTTGTGTATTTGTAAAGATTAATTTTTTTTGTCGGACTATTCGTTATTACGTTTTGTGTGACGCGTCAAATTAGTAATGGAAAACAGCTAAAAAAATGACGTGCGTTTTCGTGTAATAAGAGAATGAAGGTATGACCTACGTCTGATAAATGTATTCACAGCTTATATATAGAAATTATTTTAAATCCTCCTAGATTCATGCCTGTCACATACATATAGAGTTCAGAGACGGAAAAAAGCAATCTAGGTGTGTAGTGGAGGTTGAAAAGTTAGAATGTAGTATGAGATAGTTTCAATGTTCTTCCAAAAGTTTGACATTTTCATATCTTTTGTTGTGATGTTCCATATCCGACATTTCTGATAATGTTTTCGCTTGTGACTTGGCTTCTGTTGGGTTCAGTACATAAGTAATTGTATATCTTTTCTCAAATCATCGGACAGTAAATCCACTATAGCAAAAAGTCCATATATATATTTTTAAAACAAATCAATAATCAACGAAAAGTAAATCTGGGAAAGTAAATCATGCACACGGTACAAATATTATCAATCAAGTATCATTTGTGTATGAGCAAGCGCGATTAACTCATTTTACAATTAGACGATCCATATACTAAGAATTTAGTGTTATCACTGTTAAGATTTAGCGCACGAAAAATAAGTAATATCTACTCTACAATAAATGACGGTTTTTCTATTACGTGTACATAGGAAATTATTTATTTATTTTCTGTCCGTAATATTTTTTTATATTATATTTTCTAGTAGTAGAAAACGTTCAATTTTACTTATACGTATGCGGTTTTTATATGTATGTTATACTTGCTTTTCAACTTCCACTACACACCTTGACCGCTTTCTTCAGTCTTTGAAGTCTATATGTATATGACATGCATGAATAGAATCTCGGAGAATTTAAAATAATTTCTATATATACACTGTGAATACATTTATCAGACGTAGGTCATACCTTCATTCTCTTACTTATTACACGAA